AGAACCAAGGGAGGAGCTGATATAGCATCAGATCATCACTTGCTGGTCGCCAAGATGAAATTGAAACCCAAGAAGCACTGGACAATGGGGAGGACAATGTCACAAAAGTTCAATACGGCCTTTCTTCAGGACACTGACAAACTCAACAAATTCAAGATAGTCCTCAGCAACAAGTTCCAGGCCTTTCATGATCTACTCAATGGAGAAGGAACTACTGTGGAGAGCAACTGGAAGGGGATCAAAGAGGCAATCGCTTCAACATGTCATGAGGTCCTGGGTCACAAGAAGCACCATCACAAGGAATGGATCACTGTTGATACACTGGATAAGATTCAAGAAAGGAGGAACAAGAAAGCAGCAATCAATACCAGTCGAACAAGAGCAGAAAAAGCCAAGGCACAAGCTGAATACACAGAAGTAAACAAACAAGTGAAGAGGAGCACCATAACCGACAAACGTAAATATGTGGAAGATTTAGCAACGACGGCGGAAAAGGCTGCAAGAGAAGGAAACATGAGACAATTGTATGACATGACAAAGAAACTCTCTGGAAATCGCCGCAAACCAGAACGACCAGTGAAAAGCAAGGAAGGCGAGGTAATCACCAACATTGAAGAGCAACAAAACAGGTGGGTAGAACACTTCGAAGAACTCTTGAATCGACCAGCTCCACTGAACCCACCCAACATCGAAGCAGCACCCACGGACCTCCAAATCAATGTTGGCCCATCAACAATTGAAGAAATCAGCATGGCCATCAGACAAATCAGGAGTGGCAAAGCAACAGGACCGGACAACATTCCAGCAGAGGCACTGAAAGCAGACGTAGCGGCAACTGCAAGGATACTCCACATTCTCTTCAATAAGATTTGGGATAAGGAACAAGTACCAAAAGACTGGAAAGAACGACTTCTGATGAAAATATCGAAGAAAGGGGATCTCAGCAACTGTGATAACTACAGGGGCATCACTCTTTTCTCAATACCAGGAAAAGTCTTCAACAGGGTATTGTTAAACAAGATGAAGGACTGTGTAGACGCCCAACTTCGAGACCAACAGGTAGGATTCCGTAAGGATAGATCGTGTACAGACCAAATCGCAACTCTACGGACCATTGTGGAACAATCAATTGAATGGAATTCATCACTCTACATCAACTTCATTGACTACGAAAAGGCATTTGATAGCGTGGACAGAACAACACTATGGAAACTTCTTCGACACTACGGCGTGCCTCAGAAGATAGTCAATATCATACGGAATTCCTATGATGGATTACACTGCAAAATCGTGCATGGAGGACAATTGACAAGGTCGTTCGAAGTGAAGACCGGTGTTAGGCAAGGTTGCTTACTCTCACCCTTCCTCTTTCTCCTGGTGATCGACTGGATCATGAAGACGTCAACATCTGAAGGGAAGCACGGGATACAATGGACATCTAGGATGCAGTTGGACGATCTGGACTTCACAGATGATCTGGCCCTTTTATCCCAAACGCAACAACAAATGCAGGATAAGACGACCAGTGTGGCAGCAGCCTCAGCAGCAGTAGGTCTCAATATACACAAAGGGAAAAGCAGGATTCTCCGATACAACACAGAATGCACCAATCCAATCACAATTGACGGAGAAGATTTGGAAGATGTAAAAACCTTTACGTATTTGGGCAGCATCATTGATGAACATGGTGGATCTGATGCAGATGTGAAGGCGCGGATCGGCAAAGTAAGAGCAGCATATTTACAACTGAGGACCATCTGGAACTCAAAACAACTGTCAACCACTACCAAGGTTAGGATTTTCAACACAAATGTCAAGACAGTTCTACTGTATGGAGCAGAAACCTGGAGAACTACGAAAGCCATCATCCAGAAGATACAGGTGTTTATTAAAAGTTGCCTACGCAAGGTACTTCGGTTCTGTTGGCCAGACACTATCAGCAACAACTTGCTGTGGGAGAGAACAAACCAGATCCCAGCGGAGGAAATCAGGAAGAAGCGCTGGGAGTGGATAGGATACACATTGTGGAAAGCACCCAACTGCGTCACAAGACAAGCTCTCACATGGAATCCTCAAGGCCAAAAGAGGAGAGGAAGACCAAAGAACACATTACGCAGGGAAATGGTAGTAGACATGAGAAAAATGAACAAGAATTGGATGGAACTAGAAAAGAAGGCCCAGGACAGAGTGGGTTAGAGAATGCTGGTCAGCGGCCTATGCTCCATTGGGAGTAACAGGCGTAAGTAATCACATTTTGATGTCCATTATAAAACGATATTTGCTTTGTTGACCCATTTTTCCTCTCCTCTAGCTACTGTTCGGTATGCTATTTATGTTTCTGTTTTTCCCTGTGTTAATAGACTGTACTGTTTGTTTTTGTACACTAACGGTGCTAATTTATATTTTACAAATAAAGTTTATCAAGCCAAATAGCTTACTTGTTCTGACTTTGGCTGAACCAAGACTCTGTTCGACAGTCTAGGGAATAGCTTAGAGTTGAACCTGTAGGAAATAGCTTCCTACACTGCAGCTCTGGCCAAGTAAGGTGAGTTTCGCAGAAAACTTGTTTCCCTCTAATAACCTAAACGCTGAATGTCATAACTGTACTGAGGGGCTTTAACGCCCAGGTGGGTATACTATACAATACTAGAAGACACAGGTATGTATTACTGTATCCGAGCTTACGAAATATATAACGGGGAACCGGATCCTGCAACATTGCCCAGACAACCGTTTCTTCCGAGCACCCACTAACTTTAAGTTGAAGGAGAAACATCGTTTGACGAGGTGATCTCCAACGATGGACCAAATCATAACAGTGAGATAGCGGGAGTTTGGAAACTGAACATAATCCTATCTGGCTGAACGTTCCAGATTGTAGGAAAGGATAGAGACCCTCTTGTAACAGAAGAGGCATGTAGCGTTAAACACACTAGCCTCTATAATCATCCATCATTCAACTCAAGTTCTTAAAGAACAGACACAGGAAAACCAAGGTAGTTTTAAACCTGAACTTGGAAGTCATGAACAAATATTCACTTTTCCTCAGGTTTCAAGGAATAGACACACGTACCGACGCTCATCTATAATTTTATTCCTTCACCTCAATAATATCCAACTCCGCTGATCGTGAGGTTTTGTTGAAGTGTCTGCACTGAGAAGCATACCAAGATAAACCCAACCATGTACGGGCTCTTCACTCAAACACCATTTTTCGAGTCTAAGTAAACTGTTATCAAGCTGTATGTGTGTTAGCCTTGATCACTCCCCCGAATTTTATTCAACCTTATCACATACATACTTCCTCATATAACTTCTCAAAGATTGGTGTACCAGATTTAGAATACATAATCCCATTTGCTGAAGACGCTGACAAAATGCAGTTCTGCGATTGGTCAACCATGTTTGGAATGTGTCTCTCCTAAATACAAAAAGTTTCATGATTGATCTACTTCAATGTCTAAACTTAATGATAGGCGTTGTGTTTATCTAGCGTGTTGATCACTTTAATTAACCTTGGTAGTCTCATCAGCTTTAGTGGCCTGGTGAAATCTATGTAGAGTCAGAAGTCTCGGCTGGGTAACGTCACTTGTAGCTTAAGCAAGATGTTCGTTTAGCAACCACAACGAGTATACTGTTCAATAATTCGCTGTTTTAATTTATGGCTGTGGAATATGACCCTTAAAAATAGAGGATATTTGTAGGTTACTACTATTTGATCATAGAAGCCTTCGAAACACTCCTATAGACTGTTGGGACCTTCGAGTGAACGATGTTAAGGTTACGCACCGGACATAAGATTTAAAAAAACTAAGCTGCATATATTCGTCAACTGAGGTGGTCGGGACATACTAAAGCAGCCTATCGACCGTCTACCTTCATGCACGAGGATGACTGATGTAGTACGTTTAAAAAAAGCTAAGAGTGATCAAACCAAGGCCCAGCGGAAGACACTGACTGCTGGGGTTAACTATTGTAAATAAATGCAAACTGCCGGGTGGTGTGTGCTTTTCGTAACCAACGGTTAGAGATTTTGAGTGGCACGGCTTAGAATCATTCGCGATGGCGCAGGTGCATTCATTCTTTGTCTTCCCTTAGATTCTAAGATTTTATATTCTTCATAAACTTTTTTACTTCACTAATTCATATATCCTGGAATCGTATCTTTAATGCCTAATCTTTTATCTTACCGTTAACCCTACTACTGGCGGGATTTCCCCTGACAATTTTATCTCGCTGCCCTTATGGGGTGTAGCAACTTTAACCAATCCATATATGTACCAGATCTTACATTTCATATAAATGGTTGATTGTTCAACATGTAGACTATAATAATAAAATACACATTGGCGAAAACTATCAAGTTTCTTGGGATTGAATACATCCCAACGAACATTTGTAATTAGGGCGGAAAAAGTGGGCAAATTATCATTTTGCTGAACGTTGTCACATCACTTATTCAATCGCAGCCGATAGGTGCAGAAATACCATACCAATATTAAAACGTAAAGTTCCCCAATATTAGAAGCAACCTGTTTGTACTCATCCTTCCCGATAAGTTTCTGAAATAGTCAGGAAGTTCGTGTATCTCTATAGCTATATGAGTACTGACTGCCGTGCAAAATGACTTAAGTGATAATTATGAAGTCCAAAGTTATAACAATTCACGCTTTATATACATAGTGACAAATTCTTCGAGAAATATCTCAGGTTATATGCTTAATTTGTAAGTTGAAATCGTCCGAATACGAAGTTGGGAAACATTGTTACTAAGAACCAATTAAAACTGACGCTTTTAATGAATATATCAATAGTAAATTACTACATATTATACCTCATCTAACATAAAGTCAAACATTTAGAAAAATAGTGATCTATAATCTGATTAAAAAATATTAGACGATATATACGACCATTTACAAGAAAAGTAACAGTCGAATAAATTTTTCACATGTTTAGATGAAACAATCGAAATACAAAGTACAAGAGCTGTCGTGATGCTAATCCTGTTGCTTGACGGGACTCTGAAGTCGACGACGTAGTGCATTTGTAATCCGCTCAAAAACACTAGGTTGAGTTTGTGAATCGATACGACGTTGTAAACGGGATAAATAGTTGGATGCCTTTTCTTCAGTACCAAAGCGTAACCAATACACATCTGGATGAGATTTCCGAAACTGTTCATTGAAAGATGTAAACAAGTAGCGAAAATTAAATAACAAATGTATAAATGAGAAAACTTTCCGGATTAATTCTTGTAAATTCTTAACAGTAAGATAATTATGAGTGAATGACAAACGTAATTCCTGACTGTTGAATACACTGAGAAAAACTATCGTTCGTATTACATCACCTCAGAATATATATTTTTTATACGAAAACGAAATGGTAGGAAACAACAGTACTTCGTAAACAAAATTAATTTTAACTTACATCTTGAAGACATTTCATTTTTCTACGTGGATTCATGTCACGGTCATTGAGAATCTGATTTAAAAGCTTGATCAAATGAGCTGTATTACCTAATGCAGCTAATCGTTTGGGATCTAGATCAGACTATAAAAAATTGCAAAAAAGTGAGCAGGATAAATTATGGAACATTTAATTAATAGTATTACAATTCTTACTTTAAAAAATCATGAATGGTGAAGTATGAAAATGAAAAACGCTTCATGAACCTTTAAAAATATAAACTGGTTGGGGAAAATCAAAACGAACCAATGGTTTGCCCCAGCTGACACTAGCCAGCGCGAGATACCAACCATTGTTAGGTTGTTTAGACAAAATCCAGGCTATGCACTTTGGTACCCAAAACCTAACGTATTATTGAACGAAATGTGATCGGAACTGGACGAACACCTACAATTACTCTTCCACACTGCGCCAAAACCCCTTGATCCAATCCCCAAACATTAAGAAGACAAAACCTATACTGCAACTGCGAATATATTTTATGCTAAAAATATTTATTTTATATACAGATCTCCTTTACGGTGATTGTTGATTACATTTAAATGATTTGAATACTGAACAAATGTCAAGACTGCACAAAGATATAACAATAGTATTCCATTATGAAATAATTAATAACCAATCGCCATATAACTTCTTTTCGATATTTGATATTTGACATATTACTATAATCTTTCAAAATCACACAGCATTCTTCTATCTAATCGAATGTTAAAGTGAACAATAACAACATTGGATTAATCAGTAATTTTACTATTGGGTTCTTACTATTTTTGGAGCTTATCTCGTTTATTTTCATGATAATAAAAAGTTTCGAACCACATTCAGATTATGGGTTATCGTAAAGATCAGTCAGCATTTGACTTGATTTCGTTTTTTTCGTTTCAGGACAAAACTGCGACGCAAGACAACACTAAACGATTTTCTGCATTATACGTCCAGTGGTTCTGGATTGCTTGGGGTTTTCTACTACTACTGTCTCCAGGTAAATTATTTCTTTTATTTGTGTTATAGTACACCAGTTTTAATATTTCTCGGTGTCTAGATGGGATTTATAAAACATTTTACCGATTTTCATGACAAGTGAATAAGGAGAGCTGACGGACAACTTCAGAAACTGATTTCCATAGGGTCAGACGATGAATGTAAACCCATCAAGGTGTTGCCGAAACCCCAGAAAACTCCCATGTAGATAATAAACGTAACTAATAATGACCTAATACCAAAAGACCAGTAACATGGACATACCTGAAAAAATATACTTGAATTTAAACCAATCAGAGAATTTTCTACACTCCAATTCCCGGAACGACCAAACCGGCCGGAAGACTCTTCACTGATAAAAAGTGTAGAATGTGATTTTATACTTAGATTTCCAATACCTAAATTACTTTCATCAAATATACGACGACAACTAAAAGTATCGGTAGAACGTGGAGAGTTTTGTAAACTGCTACTTCTACCATTTTTTGTAGGAGTTGATGCAAATTTGATTAGGTTATCTCGTGATCCAATTAATTTTGACAATCTACCATCTAAACTAATACTGGATGCTGATCTGATTGGTGGAATAAATGCTGGTAAAGATGATGACGATGATGAGCGAGCAAATCCGGACTTTCTTGAACCCTGTGACTTGATACCATCTAATCCAATAAGCTAAATCGATCAAAAATGAACAAATAAGAAAGCTAGTTACTCGCTACAATTAATAAAATTGATGGGAGTCTAAAATATATGAATGACTAGGTTTATACTACTAAAACACTTGATTGCGAGTAGCAACAATAATTCGACAAATTATAATTGAGAGGATTAATAATCGTGAAAAATTATTATCATTTTTAATATGATTCAGTCATGAATATTTTACTACAAAAAATCTTGACAATGAACATAATACTAACCTCTTCAATGTGTAGAATATTTTCTTGTTCTGGTTTAATATTATCGCTTGTCGTATTATTATCATTATTTACAGATCGTAAACAAGACTGTAAACTATTGGGTGATGTTAAGAGGAAGTTTTCCGGGTCACAAAGTAACAAACAAAGAAGACATTCTCTCCAACGAATCCGTGAAGTTGTTTTGTTGACAGCGGAATCACTTGATACACGTAAAAGTAGTGGGCCGAAGTGTTTTACAATCTTTGGGGAAAAACATATTGAAGAGTAAATATCTCAGAATAAATTGATACAAAGAAATGACGAAATTTTATTTTATATGGCATGCACGCACAATGAGTGCTTTGATGGGAAATGAAAAAGGGAATGATCACATCAAACAAGAATATCAAACCACAGACTGAAATGTAAACCTTTTGATTAAGCGCCATGAGATTACTAGTCTTAAAAAATATCGGGTGGTTGATTATCGCATCGGTAGTTCGAAGCGAAAGCTACTGGGTTAGAGTCATGGTGTGCATTGGAATGCAGGTACACCCAACTGACGAATCCCAAAAGGGACGAAAAGAATATCCTGATATCTACAGTTAGCCACTGTAAAACCCCAATTAATACGAAATGGTATGCTTTACTAGTTTATATTAATATTACTACTTCTCATTTATTTTGCCTTCATTAACATTATTTTTTTCCTACTGTTAGTGATACTGTTAGTTTAGTAACAGTTTATTTAAATTTGATTCTTTCTTAATTATGCAGACAATGAATACACGTCTATACTATCTTTCGTCATTTGTTTATGTTTAATTGTATTACACTGAAATTTCTACATAACTATAAAACCGTATATTCGAAATATAAAATATCATAAAAATTTAAAAAACCGAGATATTACTGATTTTTAAAGTGTCGATAGAATAGAAGACACGCTTTTAACTACTGTGCACTAGAGAGGGTGATTTGACATTCGACCACTGGGTCGCAGATTTGAACCATATTTCACACCTAACTCATCTGAATAAAATAACTACTGAACCATAAGTCATAACTAAATAATAAGCTAATGAAAATATGATTCAGAATTCAATGCATTTACACCGAAAACATGAAATGTAATAATTATAATAGAAACGTTTTCTTTCGTAACAGAAAAAACGAATACTCATATGACTTTTTAATGACAACAGATTCATATGTAAAGAAAAAATCTATTCATATTGTCCATCTAACATAACAAACACAAATGTATTTTTAGAAAATTATGGACATACAACCCCACATGTCAAGATATCATACTACTTCTACTAATACATGTATCAAACAAATGGTAATTTGTATTAAAAAGGAACTGACGAGGTTAGGTTATGTTAGAAAAGAACGTGTGATTCAGCTATTAAAACAAAACTATTACATGAAATATTAATGATAGGTTAAGAAAAAGTTCTTTTACAAAAAGAGGAAAAATCAGAATTTCTTAAAAATATGAAAAACATTAAAACTTTCCAGATAGAAGTTAAATGAACAACTGCAGTATTTTTTATTTAATGACCTTATCCCTATAAATGCTGTACACCGATAGATGATTTTGTTGATAGATACTAAGTACTCGTTATATGACTAATAAATGGGCTTCACAAGAGAAACGGTGCACATTTGACTCTCGGGATCTATTTCACACATACCTTTTTGCACTAATAGTGACTAGAATACTAAGTATAGAGAGATGGCATAATGAGTGGGAAACTAGCATTTTAGGCAGTAGGGTAAAAATCTGAACCCACAGGATCTACTTAGTTTCATTTGAGTTACCGGGTAATATTAGTAGAATTTAAATGAATTGTGATATACAATAATTCTCATGAACTTACGCTTGATCAGTGGGTTATAAAAAATTGAAATGAATAAAACACATTGAGTGATGCACATCATTTAATTAGAAATGAACGGTTGTTGTGGTGGTGATGGTTTTTTGTTAGGCAGTTGATAAATTTAGCCGACTGAATTAATTTAACTTATGAATGAACCGAAGCCATGAAAATGATGAGACAACATTGCATTTGGACAAAAACAATCCTCAGATAAAACTAAAACAAATCGTTATACACAGTTGTAATTAGGACAGACAAACACATTACATTAACACGAAGTGGTTTAAGATGTCACACAATGCAACAGTGCAGAAATAGAGAAACGAAAGTAGTGAAAGGATATTAAGATATGAAATATGAGTAAGAGTAAACACAGCATATAAAGAATAATAATAATTACATCATGCATTTGAGGTTGATTTTAAATCATATCAACCAGACTCTTCAATGTTTGATTCTTTATTACTCAGGACCCTAAACAACCCATTACTCCATACCCAATTAAACAGAAATATTTTTTACAGTTCTCTTGTGAAGTAACAAATACACACACTTGCTCTATATGTACCATAAACTTTATTGGAGTTAATCTACATTTAATAAGTAAAAACAACTTATTACAGCATAGATGAAACATGTTCTTTAAAGAAAAAAACAGATATCGTCATATATGCGGAAACCTACCACATGCAATGTAATTTCCAACGATGATAGAGTATCGGATGGTAAAATGTTTTCAGACTTATTTTCAATATTTTCACGTGAACCATAGTTTACCAACCACGAAGCTAAGCGTTCATGATTTGATAGAACTCGACGCAATAAATCAACCATTATTTTTAACCGGGAAAACATTACAGGTGGTAAAAAAAGTAAAACTAGTTGACAAGCAAGAGCTAAATCATAACTTTCTGTGATCGGCCAATGGTGTTGGATAGACGATATTGGATCACTGGGTATACGAGTAGATGAACAATATGCACCACGATCCGAATGTTGAGTATATGAGGTAGTAGGCAAATTACGATCATTGTTAGATTTACCAGAATCTCTTTGATGATTGGTTGTGTTATATCCGTTGAGGTGATGCAACTCACTGAAAGTAAATGTGATTACTACATAGATGTAGGCTACGGGTAAAAATTAACAAAACTCAAATTTCAGAAGTGTACTTAGCAAGTATCTAAGGTCGAATAAAACCAAGAATTCGGTTAAGGAATATATAAATTGTATTATTATGAAAAAAATTAGATATAACTGTTCCAACAAACTTACTGTTAGCCCAAACATTCTTACATAACTAAAGAACAATAAACTCAAAAACGAAATTCAATGGACGAAAATGTGTTGTAGTTAGAAACATCACCCAATTATTTAAATTCAGTCAACACAAACAAATTGCAAAAATATTTTGGATTCAAATATCACAAAAGAAAAAATACCATTTAGCGATTCATTTAATCTCCAATCGATTGGGAACTAGTGCCATACTATTTTGGTCCACTGATTAATATAATCACCGCATGTAGCATAAAAAAACAACATTGAGTATCTTGTGTAGAAAACTAGTTATAAATACTCGAACATATTTGATGATGGTTGTGGTAGTTCTGCACGTTCCAGTTCTGTACAGTAAAACTGTCTTGACGTATGTGTTGGAGATCCTCACTTTGATATTGCTTTATTTTGAGTTCCATATATTCTTCAAATGTAGAATTATAGCCCTTGCTTTGCCAATCTTAGCCTTTATGTGTGCATCGGATCTTTCTTGTTCATCGATGATGCCGTCTGCGTATGCGAGAGCATCCATTTCTTCCAGAGTTTCCCCACCAATAATTATTCGGTTTGTGTCCTCCATTTTGTAATTGGGGATCATGCTTTTCCCCTTGTGTATGCTAAGCACTACTACTGCTACACTAGCTATCTTCGTCTGCATTTGTTTGTGTGTATAGGATAGAAGGGCCAGGCCATCTGCGAAGTTCAAATCTTCTAATTGACTCCGAGCTGTTCAATGTATACCGTGCTTCCTCTGAGATGTGAAGGTCTTCACAATCCAGAAGATTGGGGGAGAGTAAGCAGTCTTGTTTGACTCCGATCCTTACTTGGAATGCGTCTGTCAGCTGTTCTCCATGCACGACTTTGCACTGTGGTCCGTCGTATGAGTTCCGGATAATGATGACGATCTTCTCAGGTACACCATGGTGTCGAAGACGTTACAATAATGTTCTGCTATCCACGCTGTTAAACGCCTTCTCATACTCAAGGACATTGATGTGTAGTGACGAGTCCTATTCAATTAATCGCTCGACGATGATCCGTAGTGTCGTGATTTGGTCTGTGCACGACCGGTCCTTATGGAATCCAGCCTGTTGATCTAGAAGCTTGACGTTTATGAACCTTCCACCCGGTTCAATAGCACTGTTGGAAACGTTCCTGGTATTGATAGCAGTGTGATGCAATTTTAGTTCTTACAAGCTCTGAGATCTCCTTTCTTTGTCATACTATTCACATTAATCAATTAATGTTCGACTCACTATCATTTTAAACATTTAAGTCTTTATGGACGATTTTTTCACCAACTATGCCGCTTACTTGGTTCTTACGTAATAATTCACTGAATGGTTAGACTGAATTACTTCATACTCCCCATAAATTCCATCACATTTACACGATGAATTCGTGTATGGAAATGTCATAAAACCCTAAGTGAAATGAATACATGGAAGGCTTTAATTATCATTACCAAGGTTTGACTTGATAATTTCAGATAAATTGAGCATTGGGTAGATTGTTATAAATAAAAAAACATGTCCGTAATATCCCAATGAGTAGAAAAATTAGACTTTCCGACGTTTCGTGACTCAGTGCAAGCCACTTCCTCAAAGAATAAATAACCATATTAAAATTAACCAAAGTCTAAATAGTACAAAGAAGCTGACCTATCCAAGAGTTCCTCCAAGTGTTTCACCTTATGGTTTACTATATTTCCCTACCAGTTTCTTCAGTGTCATATAGTTGTTTGATATTCCCTTTTCTGACAGCTTTTTATGCTGTCATTGCTAGATCTTCCACGTATTTATGCTTCTCGGCTTCAAAGCACTTCTTCACTTTCTTGCTTGTTTCTGTGTATTCAGCTTGTGCCTTGACTTTATCTGTTCTTGTTCGACTGTTGTTAATTGCTGTCTTCTTGTTCTTCTTGTCTTGATTGTTGTCTAGGGTTTCGATAGAGATCCATTACTTATGATGATGCTTCTTGCTGTCAGGAACCTCTTGACTTGTTGAAGTCAGTGCTTCTTTGATCCCTTCCTAGTTGTTCTCCATACTAGTTCCTTCTTTCGGTAGATCTTGTAAGGCTCGGAACCTGTTTTTGAGAGCTATCTTGAATTCGTTGAGTTTGACAATATGTCGAAGTAAGGCTGTATTGAACCTTTATAATGCTATTTTTCCAGTTATCCAGTGCTTTTTAAGCTTCAGATTCATCTTGGTAACCACCAGTTGGCTGTGATCTGACTCTAAGTCGGCTCCTCTCTTGGTTCTCACGTTTTCCGTTGATCTTCTGAATTTTTTTAATGATACAGAAATGATCAGTCTGGTTCTCTGTAGTGTGATGATCAGGTCATTTCCTGAGCACTTGTATATGGTCGACTGCAGCCTGAAGAAACTGCTCTTCATCGTGGTCATTGATATCATTGGTGAGTGCACAACACTGGATAAGCTTAATTGTGATTTTCTTCTCTATTTCGCAGGACACTTTGGTAATTCTGCATCCAAGAAATTCCCATCCAATAAGTGCTTTTCGTGTTTCTTCGGACAGCATCAGTGCATCTCTCTGCGTGTGCGAAGCATTTACTTCTACAGACCAGAGTCTAACAGCATCTCTCTCGAAGCTAATCTTTCTTATCCAGCTTTGGTCTAATGGACTTCACTTATTCCGGGCATCAATAAGTTGTATCTCCTCATTTCCGTAGCTATATGACTGGTTTTCTCGGTCTCCCTCATTATCCGAACATTCCATGTACCCATACTAACTGTTGCTCTGCTTGTAGAAGAGGCATCGGCCTCATGACTCCCGGAGGATCTCGGCTTTTACTGTGAAGTGTCATAAGTAGTAGCCAGTTAATTTAATTTGTTTAACTCCATTCATTATAGATATGCACATATACTTTTTTGAATATATTTACTATTTTTGCTCCTTTCTTCCTTTATTCACACGCATAAATTTATATTAGATCAAGCCTTTGTTTATATACATTAAAAACTGCATGCTGCACATAGATTGTTGAAACCATACTCGTCCACACACAAAATCACCCAGTGAAAATCTATCTTTTAACTAATTTGTTATGCTCATCACAAGTTCTGAAGGTTTGTCTTCTAGTTTACTGGCACCACTATTGTAAAATATTCAGGTTACAAGCAACCCTAAATGAAACTGTATGTTACAGAAATAAGTCATCAGGAAATAACATGGTGATAACCTGCTTTTACAGATGTGTAACTTATAACCAGAACAGCTTCGCGTTATTGAGCGCAAGTCATATTACCCGGTAATCTTAATTATTATAGATGGAAGAATATTCGAACTTTTAAAGAAACGGTTGGAAATTGAGTCGTTTAATCACTAAGCCACTGGTTCATGATACTATAGATAAAGAAACCCTAAGGATTAAAGAATTGTATATTATGATAAGCGAAATGAAACTGTGTCGTACAGAATGGCGTTGTGGTAGATTGATAACCATCAAACACTTCAAAATACAATGAAACAGCTGTTCGATGACCTTTAGCAATTGTATAACATAATATCAATTTCGGATAAAAATAACATTTAGTTATCAATATTTTTTATCTTTTAAATCATAAGTTAACAACATAATACATTTTTTGCATGGTAACTCACTGATGAACTGGTTCAGAGACACTGTGACTCCTTGATTTCCCCGTTTGAATTAACATACTACTTAACTGAATTGAAACAAATATACAATAAAATCTCATGACGACTGACTTGATGTTTACATAATTTTACACAAGTGTTTAAAAAAGAATTTTACCCATTTAGAATTCACTTTGACTAATTTCGTTTCTAAATGATCAGATATGGTGTTCATAACTTTGACTGAATATAGGAAAATACAATTTAATCTGTATAATAAATAGAAAGAAACTGAGAAATACAAATACTGATGTATTAAACATGAGAAAAATGATGTGAATGATCAACAAACCACTGACCAATCATCGTTTTCACCAATATCTGAATCATCTATTATTTTTCAAAAGTAAATTATCAAATGCTGTTAACTTAACTAGAGAAACTTTCTGTTTTATGCACGTAATGAAATTACATCACAGGAAAACTTAATACTTTTCCATCAGTTATTCTCATGTGTTCTGTGAAATGGTCAGGAATACAAAGTTAATAATAATAAATAATAGTAATAATAATAATAATAAAACACATCGAAGATAGTATAGAAAATTCGCTTGACAGCTTTGATTTTTCACAACTATTTACAGTACATTATATCCAGAGTTCATCTACCGTTTATTTCTCAAATATAGAACAAATGAGAAAACTAGCTAAAACCAATTTAAAAAATGGTAACTTATCATTTTAATGGTGTTTCATCGAATGATTAAGTAAGTAAGCGTGTATCGAGTTCATATACTAAATTTTTGAAAAAACCGCAAAACAGGAATAAATCAACAAATTTCATGTATTCGAGAAAATGAAATCGAATCATTCACAAAATAATTCAGTGTACGAAAATGAAAATATGTATAGTCATTAAAGTATACTGATACTAATAAAATAGGCTTACATTTTCACAGTCGTGACCAGGATCAGATGCCCTTACATCAAATCTTACACAGTTTACAATCGGAGAAATAGGATGGTATTCAGTGACTAAAGGGAAATTATAACATTAGCAAAAAGGGAGATAATTATATTTTACAATGATAAATTAAAACATGGAACATAATCGTATCGAACAACTTAAATAACGTGCAGTTTAACCAGCTCACAAGATAAAAAATAACTTGAGAGAAATATCATACGTCAAAATTAACAAATAACAAGAAGTTGCGTTTGTATATAATTTTTATTTTCATTTTTGAATTTTTCAAGTTTCAGCAACTCAGAATAAAAGCGATTCTACTTATTTTGAAATGACTACGCACTAAACCTTCAAATACAAGGTAGCAAGTTTGACCTTACCTCCATATACTTAGTTTTAGGCGCCTGTGTAACATCGATATCCTTGAAAAATGAGCGTGACTTAAACCCCGGAAAAAGAACAGTTCGGCGAGAATGTTGCGAAAAGGGTTGCTGACAGGTCTATAAATACTTTTAATGAATCAAGTCAAGCCGTTGTCATGTGCGTCGAAATACAAATTTCTGTATTTTGTCTACACATTTAGCCACAGTAATAAGTTAATTTATACATGATTATGGAAGTGACTGACAACGATAGTTCTCCCCTAAATATGTATTCAATATGGATGTTACATAAGACGATCCGAATTTATCAACATCGTACAAATTTCCTACTATTGAACATAACAATCTCGTGATGTAATCCGACTATGATCACTGAAACGTAAGTTGCCCATCTAAATCACATACCATAAAACGAACATTTAGCTTAAAGGTATAACTAACGATAGACGCTAGATGTGATTCCATTGCTCCGACATGGATATAAAACACAGGTGTCACTTGAAAGAAATATGCGTAAAGAAATGAGAATAATGGAAACACAGACTAACAGATGACAAAAAACTCCAGTGTTTTCGAAAAGCTAGGATAATCAGGTCAAATGTTCGACTACACATTATTGCACAGGCGCCAAGCCTCCGTCGAAACAAGTATTAGGTACAAAATAAAATAACATATTAACTTTGTGATGCACATTTAAGATTATAATAAAACATACATAAACTTACATGAGTTGTCGTCAGGTGTAAAAGCTTTAGATAATGAATGTCCATAAACTTTTTTATGCAAATTGTTTGTATCCCTTAAAGGTGTAGTTAAAGGTGGGAGTGAAATATTTTGGAGATTATTTTTATCACCACCATGTGAACTTATCACATTAGGAGAATATGTTTTTTCAAACGGCTTTAAGTCATTGGCGTTACTTGAAACGGAATTAATCCAACCTTTAAGAAGACTATTCATTGTCGCTAAAAGTTTCGCATCTGGAAAGCTGCCTAAAAACAAAATCGCACCAATCATTACTTTTCTTAAAAAGAACTAAAGGTAATAGACTGTTCCATTATATAAATGGAAACTCAACTGATTACTAATAATAATTATTTATGTTGGTTTGTGCTTAGTTATTACAGAAACGATTAGAAGTGATCCCGATATGATATAGTTTGTATAAACTAACCTTAAATTCTAAACAATAATAACTATTAATTCACCAAATATGAATAATATATTTCGATTTATAGAAAACACATTTTAAAAAAGAAAGAATAGCTTAATTAGTATAAAGGTAAATTGATTATGAACATAAAGCTCATCTAGAAATGGATTTATTTTAAGTTGTAAAATTAGACAATTTGTGAATGATGAAAAGTATTCAGAGGTTGAAAACACAACTTTTACACCTTGGATCAAAGATTAATTCAGTTACTGTCAACCATATTTCTGGACTTAACAAAAAATTATTTAGACACTAACCTTATGATCACAAACTTAAATGCACAAATATACACATTAAGGACAAAATGTTTCAAATAAGCAGGACTTTCACAATCTTCACAGAAAATACATTCAATCAGCATGGAACTCGCTATTTGACTTATTACTGAACATGAGACCAACAAAAAGCTAATAGCTCAACCAGATTCTGAAGTATGGAAATCATTAGATGAATGAAGATACAATCGAAAACAAAGATTTTTGAAAATGTAAGACAATATGCACCACAGTATTTTTTAACTGTCAGTTCCAGTCAGCTATAGTCAATGTAAGATGTAGCATAAATGTGAAACCATCCAACTTGTCATAACCCCGACAATACAGTAAGATGAGATTGATTAGATGAGCAGTCAAGAATGGAAATCATAGTAATATCAATGATAGAAAAAAAACTAAACACGAATATCATTCAAAACGACAGAAGTGGAGTCCTAGAGATAGTGCAATTCAATGGCTTGAAATCTTACCAAACATGGATCAGAATATAAACCGGTGTTGATCCTACTGTAATTTTCTTTGCTTTCTTCATGAAAGTGAGAGGGACCTCCTTAACTGAAAAAAAATCTTTTCTGACTGTATTTTTCTTAAGTGAATGGTTTTTCTTATCATTTGCTACTCTCACCTTCCTTTATCTCTCCACCATTTCATTTATTATTGAATGGAGCATACTTTAGTGTTCATTTGTATCAGTGTTTAAATAAATAAAAAATAAATGCAAGTTCGTCTCTTATAAACACAATATTTCGACTATACTCGTCACCTTACTTTTACTGTTCAATTTTAGACCTAGAACAGATGATAATCTATAGAAAGTGCAAAGCTTATCTACAAATAGTTTAAAATATACACACAAAAGATTATCACCAACTCACAAAAAATATGATCCAGAAGTAATTCTGCTGTCTTTGGGATGCAGCAATGTTGAAAGTTTTCCAAATGGGAAATTGTAATGGATAGAAGTGAACTTGGTAGACGTTTTCTTTCACAAACTTTTGATTGATGACCGATATTATTTGGCCCTATAAAAGCAACCATAGTTTGAGT